TTTACAGGATAGAGATTTACTAACAAGATTCTTCGCTAGCATAATGGAACATCGCCTGTTTCTATAAGACCTCATAGAAATATCACTGAAATCTCACCTTCACTTCTATGGAACATGTTTTTTCTCACGAGATGTCTATTTGCAAATATGTTATTTCTAAAACGCTTAGAAATATTACCCATTTCTTTAGGATATATACGGAACAGCTAGCCTATTGACTTCGTACTTGGTAGTAAATCTAAAACAAGTTAGGATGAGTCTAAAGTCAGATATCGTTACTTTAAAAAAAACGATTTAATAACTTACTCCCTAAATTTTCTCACCAATCTCCTGTTTCAAACGTCGATGTCTCATTGTAAATCTTTGATATACTTCTAGTAAAGCAATATTCTCTAGAGAAAGCAGTGTCTTACTGCAAGAAATTAATTCTCAAAGGACTCCGCTGCGTAATCCTCCCATTCCGATGGTGTATTGTGGTAAATGGCATTTGTTTTGCCGCTGACTGAGAAACATCATGAAAACAGACACGGATAGCGATATCCTATAAGAAATGATAGAACTTAAAGGATATCATCAAGTCTTCAGATACACAAAGTCAAAAAATACGAGAGTCAGCAAACACTGGCATTTCTTAGTTCAAAATTATGAATGACATAATAATCATAACGAGACCCAAATTGATGAAGAAATCGGCAGTAAAAAGGTCGTGTTCTTGAGATACTGTATTTTGTTGATCACATCAATCAGGTGAGGTCGTGGCAAATCTCAAATTATTACCAGTTTTCAGTAAATCACTAGTCTCTAATTTCTGATTTTTAAGCAGAAATTTACTTTTCTAAATAATTTCTAAAAAATTCCATAAATGAATGCATGAGATATTCACTCTTATCCATCAATTTTAATGAGTATCAGAAAAGCAGAAATCAGAAATTTACTCACGCTATACATTTCTAAAATATAACAGATATCAGAAATTTTCTCCTATTATATATTTCTGAAATCCAAAAATACTTAATGTAAGTAAATTTCTGATTTCTGACAACATTTTAAAAATGTATAGTATGAATAAACGTCTGATTTCTGCTAAAAGTATATGATTCGTAAGTCAACTTTTGATTTTCATTCCTCATTTTAGTTCAAATGGAAGTGTCTAAAAGTTTGTATAGTTTTATTTATGGACACATAAAATTGTAAGAATTTTGAAATTTGTAAATTTATGAACATTTTCAAAATTTTCAAGAATTGAAATTTTAAATAATTTTGAGAAGTAGACTTCAAAATTTGTACCAATTTGATATTTGCCGCTTCATGCAAAAAATGCACAGTACACTAGTAAAACGAATAGAAAGAATAAAACTCAGGTGATGATTCATTCTTTCTTTCGAAATCTTATGAAATTTTCGCTTGGTTATCTCCATTTATTTTTATTAATTCTTCATATCAACTTTCTACTAATTTTGCATGTTTCTTTGTTGCGTCTATTGTAATACGAACACGTAACAATTTTCTAAACTCTTGTATTTGTTTGAATTCTTGCAGTGCTAGATTCTAAAGATGTCCGGTTGACCAACAAGAGAAAACGAAACACTCAGTATTCTGCTTCGAAACTATTTCTTTGTTGATGATCGAGCTCATATCAAGATCTCCTAGGGATAGACATGCACTAGTATTTTACGTTTTTTTTCTTTAGAAAAAATGAGAAAGTTGAACATTTATCTCTTTAATCTCTTCAATGTGTTTTAGATCGAAAATTCATGAAATATTTTATTGTTTCATTGAAATGGTACTTTATAGTAGAACATAATCGTCACTGAAGGATTCGAAGAGAACGTTCAGTATTAGAATTCCATACAGAATAAGATCTGCCGTCATATAAAACAAGATTCCCATCATTCTGCATGGCTAATTGATATGGACCAACGAAATGTGGTTTGAAACATAAACAACAAGATTGCCATCACCTTGTATAATAGCGTAGTATGCTTTATTTTCTGAAACTCAATATTCGCCTTCTTTGAGAATAGCTCCAAGTATCAAAGTATCCATGTCATGCCTATCAGCGATTGTTATCACCATTTTCAAAACGAGACAAAGATATAGAAACATCGGTGTGTTTGATTGAACGTAAATAATAAAAACTTTTGTAAAGTCTATTAAACAGGGAAATAACGATGAGTACAAATATTCAAACTTAGATGTCTTTTTCTCATTCCATACGAAAGAAACGACTTTATTTTAAGCTCATTTATACTATTGCTTAACAAAATCTAACGTCAAGCACTGAAAAATGATTATCAAGCCAAGATTATCTTGTGTTTATTTTCAATTTATAATTTTACTATTTCAAGGTTTCTTTAAATAGTTGTCAAAACCATTATTCTTCTTTACTATTTAATTACTTAATTGATTGATTATGCTCCTGGATACCATAACCTACCTTCGAAACCAAGTTGTAAATGCTCTAAGCCTTCGATACAAATTTGCAAACAGATAGTTGAGTCTTATTTATACAGAAAAAACAATGACAAATGCTTTTTCATTTTAATAAATATTTGCCTGTATTTCTAATTGATGCACTGAAAATACAAATAGATCAATATTTAGTCAAATTTGTATAGTCAAAGTAATAGTGTTCGATTGACATACGTATAGGTTGCTGTGAAAAGAATAGTTCAACATTTCGTACAGTTTCTGAGCAATTTACCGGTCGTCAAAGTCTATTGAACTCAATACAAATGCAAGTTACTCATTCCGTTGCCGTATTTCTTCTTGAAATCAAATATATATGAGCGATTCACTGAACTTCATGACTGCGTTGAGAAAAGCTCGCTAATAGTTGCATTCGAGCTGAATGTTACGCGATGAAGGAAGATTTCTGTGGCTAGACCACAGCTTCTTTACTATTGAGAAGATCAATTAGTCACATGCATATGTTGTTGTAATGTAAATAAGCATTTTAAATGGCAGAGTAAAGGACTCAACATAAGAAAATACAAAAAAGTGATAAGAAATAAAACGAAAAGTCAGCTTAGCCATAAGACGAGAAAATCAGAACACTGAATGACGGGCGATTACAGAAGAATATGTATGGCTGTGTTAAATAAAAGTGAACTCAAAGATCAATAAATAATCATAGCGAGAAAAATGTTTATGTAAATCGTTCTTGTTAAACTTAGACAAAAAAGGAAAATTGAGTGAAGAAAGGTTGATTTATTGGATACGTGGCCTTCCCTATGGATTATCAGTACGGGCCATCTGCTTGCCTTTTTGGATTGCAGCTAGATCAGTTGCTCCTTTGTCACCTGATTTGGTGATCACTTTGCGGATTTCTATCTCCCGCTTACGCACAGCTTCATTAATTTTTTTCTGTTGTTCTTGGATGTGTGCTTCAACCTGTTGAGTGACTGATTTCGTTTCATCTGCGAGTTTTTTCATCATTACAGTCCGTTCTTCATCATTACGAACTGTGAGCATCTCACTAAGACCTGCAAGTCGATCCAATAAATATCGACTTGATACTTCATAGTAGGTGCGGGACATGACATAAATAACATAAGCCGTATGGTGGACACTAGATGCGTCTCCTTTGAGATAGTTAACAAGCTCCTTACGTTTGCTTCTCTCTGCGTGAGTTTACTTTGCTGATGCTTTCAGGAAACTTTTCAATGACCCATCAACCATACTTGTGATTTGGTTCGAAATGTGTGAGTAAAAGCGAACGAAGTGATTCCATTGTTCACGCAGTCGAGAAAGCAATACGAGTGTCTCTTGAAGCATTTCAACAATTTTTTCATAATTAATGGTGGTAAAATTAATACCAACCATTTGGCTACTCAAATGGCGCATTTCGGTGACCAGTGCTAAATGTTCTTGAGCCTGTTTGTCTTAAATACGTTTCATCTCTACCAAATTGGCTTGAGCAAGTCGAGCTTTATATAATTCATTTTTCGATGATTGTGTACTATGAGAATCCTTTGAATTTCCAACTTTCATAATATTGTCTGCTGCAAGCGTGGGATTGGCATATCTAGCTGCTGATAGGAGTGGTTTGAGGTCTTCAGCAATTTGCTGTAATTGCTTTAGGGTGTGGTGGATGTGTGGGGGTGTGGGTGTGAGTGTGGGTGTGGATGTGGGTGTGGGAGTGTATGTGGGGTGGGTGGGTGAGGGTGTCTATCATCTCTTAAACGATGCTCACACACACCCACACCCACACCCGACATATAGAAATGAACAGTGAATAAGTTAACCCTTTACCCTCGGATGGGTCGTTTAAGACCCATTCATAGAATCTATCTGTTTGAGTTAATAAAACATGGGATCAAGACGATTCTTGAATATTGTGTAGAGCATTCAATAAGCTATAAATTGGTAAATAAACTAAACTTTTTTTATTGTTCCTTAGTTAAGATCTGGTATGCAAGTGCTCCTCCTTTTCCTCCTTTTCCTCCTTTTTCCTAAAACATATCCTCCTTCTCCTCTTTTTCACATCGAAATCCTCCTATTCCTCCTTTTTGTTACTTGGGTTATGGAATCAGTATTTTAAACAAAAAAAAAGCTTTAATGATGCTGCAACTGGTAACAGATTTGAAAAATTTAAGCATACTATTCTAATGAAGAAAGTATTTTCTAGATTTTAAACAAAAATTAACTTTTATTTCGATAATTTATAATTGCAATCGTCAGAGAATGACTATGAGAATGGACAAAAAAGTATTAATAAATATAAATACGTGACATGTAACATCAAAAGATAACCGAGTTACAATGTGTTGGAAATAAAACATCAAACAAAACAAAGAACACGATTGTAGCACGATGTCAATTATTATATAATCATGTTCCCTGTTTCGTTTGTTGTGTTTGGTTCCTCCTAACAAATTGTAATTCGGTTATCTTTTGATGATACATGTTATGAACTGATATATAATCTTTTATGTTGCAGTACTATGCTGAACCATTTCACAGAGAGTCTATTTTTTAAATAAACATATTTTCTTTAAATGCCTCTTCACGCTACAAAGTTTAATATTTCATGGTTGGAAAAAAAAGATTCAGATGGTACACCTGTGAAGCGATGGCTGAAACAAGGTACAAAACCATCACCATTTATTTGTACATTATGTAAAACCGATGAACTATGCTGTGGAAATAAAGGATGGCAGTCTGTTGAAAGTCATATGAACAACAAAAAACATCGTGATACTTTAAAATTGATAAAAGAAAATACTACATTTACTATTCAAACTGAACCAAATTCTACTCAATCACAACCAAGTTCTTCGTCATCAAACATTTCAACAGTAACACTTGCTTCTCAAGCAAAGACTATGAGCTTTTCAGATCAAGTAACACGTGCCGAAACATTATGGGCAATGAATGCAGCACGTCATGGATACAGTTACCTTTCATGTGATGAATCTGCTGATCTGTTCCAAAATATGTTTCCAGACTCAGATATTGCACAAAAATTTGAAAATGGAACGAGCAAAATTATCATATACGATTTCTCACGGTCTTGGTCCATTTTTCCATCGTAATGTTGTTCAAGATATCAAATAATGTGAAAGATTTGTATTATGCTTTGATGAACAAAAGAACCATCAGAATAATAAACAACTGGATTTATTTTTGAAGTATTGGAGTGTCCAAAACCAAGGCGTGGTAACTCGTATTATAAATCTATTCTTCTTGGTCATGCACCGGCAAATGTTATTAGAGATAGCATTGTTGACTCTTTTCGCACAGATGGAATTGATATTTATCGTTTATTGATGATTGGGCGTGATAATCCTAATGTTAACAAAACTGTTGAAAGACTCATTGATGAAGAATTGAAGAAAGGTGGTGGAGAATTACTCAAATTATGTTCATGCAATATCCACGTCGTTCATAATGCTTTCAAAGCAGGTTAGAAGCTTGTAAGAAAATATTCGTGAAAACTAATTTTTTGAATTCTTAGGTACAACAGTATCATGTTGGCATATTCAAGATTTCTGTATAGATTTATGGTCCTGGTTTCGTCGTTCGCCAGCACGAAAAGAAGATTTTGTAAAACTTGGTGAGGAACTGAACGAAGAAGTTGAAAAAAACATTCTTTATTTTGTTTGTACACGTTGGGTATTGCTCGGTAAAGTAGTTGACCGAATTTTAAGTAAGTGAATGTAGAAAAAAACTATTATTTTATGCATTAAAAGTGAATTTTTCAAATAGTACAATGGGAAATTTTAAACGAATATTTTCTTGTATATTTGCCCGAAAACGACAAAAC